TATTTTTCCTGTTTCCTTCCTTGCAACTAGGACAACAGAAGGTATGTTTGCATTTGTCTTTTGTGCATAGGTGTCATCTGTGTGTGTGCTTTAAACTGGGTTACCTGTCTGCTCTGTGAACGAGCCAGGAAACAGGAAGCCACACCACCATAGTCACAGATGCAGCTCTTTAGTTAGAGTTAGTCAGAGCACTGGCAGGTTGTCCTGCAAAACACTGTGTATGTATTCCTGAAAAGATTCACCAATGAACATCTCAGCAGGACTGGTTAAGGCCTTTATAGAGCTTTTGATCTATAAAGAGTTATCTACTCAACTCTTAGATATTTAGATAATTAATATCTAGATAATTAATATCTAGAGATATTAATTATAGGTGCAGTTAATAGGCTGTTGCCATGCTTAACCATGATCACCTGCTTAAACACAGTAGTGGGTTTGTGGGCTGGATGACTTGGGGCTTCACAGCCACTTACAAGCACACAGGGCTCTGAGTGGCTCCCATTCAGTGTTGAACCCTCCAGTGATTTTAATATGCAAATTGCTAAATGAGGGCTCTGTTTGTTGGCTTCTTTCCCAACATCTGGCAGTTGGATTTGATAAATGACTGTATGTGCAACTACTCCTTTTCAAGGGCCGATGATTTGGTTACATTAAAACACTTCAGTTCAGGTTATTTCCCCACCAAATCTTTTTGTGGGGGATGTTTATTTTTTTCCATTCTATTCCATCCCAGGAAGACCTCAGCCTTTACATTTTCCATAGCTGCTTACTTTCATGTACTGACTAATTCTGAGAATATCAGCCTGAAAGTGAAAATTTGGCAGAAGTGAGCAATCACAAAATGCAGTTCATATATGCAGTGTGTATAGAGTGTGCTTTTTTAATCTAGGAGTTACTATTATGTGCTGTAACAACCAAGTCAGTGAAGATAGAAAGTGGAAGCTAAATAGTGTATTTTTACTTTGGTTTCTGAATTGGTTTTGGAAATCCAGTGCCTTTTGAGATGAGCCTTGCTCCCCTCTTTGAGGTGATGACTGTAAGGCTTCTTGTAGATGAGAAATCCAAGTTGACTTGTTACTGAGGTTGGAAGCAAAAAACATTCCCTAAATGAAAAGGACAAACTGTGACACCTCTCCTTGTTATATAATGTCACATAGGCTCTGCTGGCTTTATTTTCACTTTCAGATTTTGTGAACAGCTCTACAGACCTCTTGTTTCAACTGTGTTACATGTGTAGTGTTACCAGGTTGTGGCCTGTCTCTGAGCTCTAACTACTGATTAGGGCCAATGACAAGTGATACCTTGTTTCGTTGGAAATGAAATAATAGACTAGACAAGTTGTGATGGCTGTTCCACAAGAGCTTTTTCCAGTCATGACTGATGCCCTTGGAGCCTGTAGGTGCCTCTTTTTATTACTTCAGTACAATTGCAACAAGCTGTTGGTGCTGACAGGTGCGGGAGTGTAAAAGGATTTGGTTTTTGTGATTCTGGCTACAAAAGTCACTTGCAAAGCAAAGGATTTTAAACCAACTCTGTGAAATGTCTGTCCTTTTGTGTCTTCCTAACTTAGTTTCTGATTTCCTGAGCACAGAACTTGTCATTAATACGGATTCCAGGTTGGGTTCAATCAGAAAACCAGCACCTTACCAGCAGAGCCAGACACTGTACTGAAAGCCTTTGCACAGCAGTTAGGAAAGGGGGCTCCCGCTACGTAGTGTAAATGCTCTTTTGCAAGACTCAAGTGTGCTTGGTCTGGAGATGTAGTTGGACCTTTTCTGGCATGGTGTAGTATTCAAGGTAGCTGCAGCAAAGGCTGTTTGGATCCAGCTGTGCAGCACCCTGCAAACAGCGCATTTGCAGAGTCTTCAACCAGGACATTTTCAGGATCGTGCTGAGCTAGAGACAGTTCAAAGGATGCTGAAAATGTTGTTTGTTGCGCCAGGGCACAGTGTGAGGGAAAAGTCAGCAGAAGCAGAGAGCAGGCTTTCCATAGCTGCAGCTGTGTGCTGTAACCAGCTGCCTAACTCCAGTGCTTTCGCAGTCTTTCAAATATTGATTTTAGGCTTATGGTTCTGTTGCCTAATTTCTCTGAAGTGAGGTACACAGGGAACCAGGAATCGGGCATGTGGCATTAGACAAAAGAAGTTGCTAATGGGCATTTGTAGCTCTAGCAGTGACGCTTGGGAAGTTTAGTGTGGCTTATACTGAAGGAGGACAATACCTTATTGTCATATAATAGTACATCAGAGGAGTGCTTAAAAAGTCCTCGGTTAGACCAGCTGGTCTGGAAGCTTAGGAGAGTTAGAATGCAGTGGGGTATAAAGCTCTCAGATTCTCCTCTTTTTTCCTTCTTCCAAAGGCAGCAGGCTTTGCAGTTTGGGGGTACATTATACAGAACTCTCAGGCATTTAATGCTGTCACTCTTTGAAAGCATTAAACCATGATTTCTGGCAAATTCAGTTTCTTTCTGTGTCTGAGTTGATAAAAAATGGATAGGTTGAAAATTATTTTGCACAGAATGTTCTCAAAATTCATCCCTCCCCAGATGTGATTCTGTGTTGCTAAATGTCCCTTTTATTCAAGTAACGGGAAACGATGCCTTTCACCATTCATTTTAATGAACTTTTCTGTCAGAAACCTATTAATGCTGTTATGAATGTTGTGACGGGATCCTGGCATAAGCTGTTTGCAGGACTGTTGGTAACAGATGACTCTAACTGCATATCTAAATGATGGAAACGTTTCTTGAAAAATGTGCAAAAGTGAAGGTGAGCTTAACTTCCTTGGTAGCATGCAGCAAGCCAAGTAACTCTTGGCTCTTCAGGCAAGGAAACAGGCAGGGTAAGGAGATCAAGAATGGAAATTCTTCAATGGAAGCCAAAGTGGGTCAAGAGGAAGGAAGAACCGGGCTGCCCATCTCATAGTCTGTTTCCCAGGGGAGTGGCAGCAGCAGAGCTCAGCAGCAGGCCTTCTAACACAAAGTGTCTTAGCACCTGTTGTGATTTGGATAGGTTGCTCTGTCTAGCTGTGCAGCGTAATTCATAAAAGGCTGTACCATAGAGTCATCAATCTCAATGTGTCATCAGCTAGCCTGCAGAGGACTGCTGACATTTGTGCCTTGTGGGCAGCGTCACTGCTACACGTCTGGGCTGAAGCGTGATGGGGGTGTGCAGTGCCTTTCATGGCAGTGCCACTGGGAATTGTGTTCCTGCAGGGCTGGCACTGCTGTGCCCTGAGAGCGTCCTGCTCACCACAGCTCAGCTCTCTGTAGCCTGCAAGGATTAGATCACCTTTAACAGAGAAACTCAGCTGATCACAGGGTGAGGAAATCTCCTTTTCTTTATTATTGGCCTTTGGGTGTAGGGAAGGGACTCTGCTTGTTTCTTGCTTGTCTCCGTCACTGGGAGCTACATTCACCTGTTCTCTCTCCTCTCCTCAGCTTTTGTTTGGCTTTGCCATGTTTTATGTACAGATGGGAGACCTATGGATGGAAGATGCGTGGTCTGATGTGCCAATCTTTACAACAAGTCAAAACCGAGTCTTTGGATAAGCATGAGAAAGGGGAAATGCATGTTGTTCACTTGGCAGTTTGGAATCCTCTCTGCTGGCAAATATACTTGGTTTGCTGCAGTTGTAGTATGCTGGCCTAACAAAGAAGGTGGCTGAGCATCTCTTCAAGATTGTAAGAGGTTTTCTTCTGACAAGAGGAAGAAGCAGGGCTCTCTGGAGTCGTGGAAGCTGAAGTGCTAGGGTGGCAGTTTTTTGTGAAGCTCTCTGCATGAAGAGGCTGTAGACTACCAAGTTAATGCCTGGTTGGTGCCAGAAGTGAGCTAACTAGGAGTGGATCTAGGCTTTACCTGTGGGAAATGATTTTACAGCAAATCGGTGATGTTCTTCTGCACGTTGGGGTGATTTGCATTTCACCTTGAGGAGTTTCCTGCTGTAGATTTTTAAATATCAATTCCTACTTGTTTCTTTTTTGTTTGCTTAAATCGTAAAAATCCTTCCTCATATTTCTGATTAGATATGTTATTGCAAACATAGTATTACTCCTTCTGTGTATCTCTAACTAATAAAGATTTTCTGTTCACTGAGATGAGTGAAAAAGCACATCTTGTCATTTGGAGAAAATGGCACACTTGTTTTTGGAGAGTGATGAATGGCAAATCAAAGAAGTGTAGGCAGAAGAGTACCTTTTAGTGTTGGCAGTACTTTGTTGATAACTTGAACTGTTTTTGTCCTATCTCCTATTCTCTCAAATTCAATTGCTAACGAAACTTCATTGTCTGGTAGCTCTGTTTCAAAATTATAGGTAAGCTGAATATATATTGTTTGATCTTCTGCATTTTATTCCCTGCAGAAGTGTTGAAGTAAAACTGCTTAGTGTCCATCTCTCCTATTGCTTTTTGTGCTGGATCTAAGCTCTCAGGGACATGGGTTGTCTCTGAATATGTGTCTTTTTAGCACTGTGGTTCCTGGGTCATTGGAATCAGAGGTTACTATAAGAAAAGCTATTCATAATATAGAAGAAAGCCTACATTTCTGTGGCTATTTCTGTAGTGTTGCTTGAATTTATAAGAGTCTGGTGAGCAGTAGGAAGGAAGCAATTGCATTTCCAATCACAGATGTGTTAAACGAAGGAGAAATCTGGGGAGCTAGTAGTTACTCCACTCAATTTTCCCTCCTCCCTTTGAGTGATCCAGTTTGGTTTTACAGCCGCTTTGGATTTAGGGAGCAATAAGTCTTCATTGTAAGGGTTTGGCAGGGCCACAGGGTTGGAATTCGTGGATCAACTGTAGAAATAGATTTTTGTCACATGGATCAGTTTATCAATTTTAATGTGTAATTTAATTCACAATTAGTAATTGATATAATAATGTATTATATATAGTTGGATGCTTCAATATTTCATGATAACATTCTTTCTGGCCACTTCTGAACAAATACATTTTTTTTCTGCTTCAACATGCCATAGCCCAATGTTTTTTGGGGCATTTAAGTATATGAAACTTTGATTCACTCAGGATTTCAAAGGGTTTGCTGGATGTTCTTTCCTTCTTGAATAGAGTACTTCATTTCTTCATGTAACCACAATTTCAGTGATGAAAGTCATCTTGTACATAGCTACTCTGCTAGAGAACAACAGAACAGGAGCATGCATCAGGACGGACTTCAGCTGAAGTCGTTTCTTTGTACATTTTAAGCAGGCTTGGAAGAAATCCCAGGTGATTTAATCTCTACTTTCATGCAAAAGGTATGATTTCTGTTGATTATTGTAGGCATAAGCCAGCTCCCAGTTTCTCAGCCTCTGCTGACCTGGGGTGTGCTTAAGCCAAGCCAAATCTTTAATCTGTGCACTGTCATCTCTTGTGGTCCTCCATCTCCAGCCACAAGTTCACCCCCTGCACCCACGTTCCTTGTGTGTGGAGGATCCTTGCAGCTTCCCTGAGGCAGGTGTAAACATTTTTTCTTTTAAGAGGGCAGCAGATGTAACCTTCAACCTGCGTTAATAGAGCCTGGCACATAATCACTGTTCCAACGGCGTAACTAACAAATATTTACTTAGCAAATGAAAACAAAAAGCAGAGATAACTCAGGTATTCTTTGTAGGGGAGGAACTTGGAAATCTGTGATTAAAAGCCATGTCATCCAGTTAGATGGACTCTCCCTGGCAAACAGCAGGGTGTAATTACAGGTAGGAAATTCACCCTTCACACACATCACACAGTGTCTTCGTACCAGGAATTTTCTTTCCTGTCTATAGACATTATGCAGTACTGGGCTTTCTCACACATAAGATTTAACTCTTCTTGGAGTACTTTGAATGAGTTTTCTAATTTTTTAAAAATAAATTTGGATTATTTGTTTCCTACAGTAAATGCAGAGCAAGAATTCACTTTCAATGCAAAAGTAACTTTAATTATTGAGCATTAAGCAGCAGCTATTAATATTTCTTTGTCATCTGCTTGTTTCAACAGAAGAATCAATATACATTTTAGTATCTGATACTGAGGACTGTAACTATCATCAGCCATCCCATAGTTAGTATTTTTAAATTCTTTATTCTATCCAGCAGAATGATCTTAGTTTTTTTTTCCCTTTTTTAGCAGATTTCATTGCTAGTTTTCAGTGCTCTTTCAACCATTTCCAGAATCTTTTATTTCTTACAAAGTGCAGAGAGAAATTGCTTTGTTTTGTAATTAGAATAATAACTCTCAGTCTCTGAGTTTGGTGGGTACACAATCCTCACACAGAAAGAATTTCCATTGGTATATCTGTTTCCTACATAGGGAGTGCTGATATATTAAATTACATAGCTTTTGTGCTGTCCTGCTGCTGGAGGAGGTTCTGTCTATTTCATGTAGTTGAGACTAAAACAGATGAGGAATGATTTCCATCCCTTACATACACAGGGAAGGGGTAAAATTTCTTAACCATTAAGTCAAAATATTGATCCCCTCTGACAATTTGTTATTCCCAGGTATTTTATGTCCAGACCACATTTAGCTAGATGTGGACCTTTAAGTGCTGAAAGTACAATGTGCTAACCTTCTGCAGGCCTGTTATGTATGCACTGGTGTTGTTCCACATAGCAGAAGGAACAGCTTATCAAATCTGCTATTCCTGCTGAGCATGAGTCAGCTTTGACCTTCCCTGGGTCTCTGGACTCTGTTTGTTACCACTCTGAGAATTGATATTCAATCTGAGACCTCCATGTGTTAAGTGGGAAGCTTTTCTATCATGCGCATTTTATTCTTCAGCTTCAGATTAAAGAGATGCTTGCCAGGCTGGCAGGAACTTCCAATGCAGATTCTGGTTTTCCAACCTCAGGGCTGATAAGGGTCACATTGCTTGTGCTGCATGATGGGGAAATTTCCAAAAAATAGTCTACCAGCTTCAGAAGATGCTGGTGATGAGTCAGGAGGTGGCACAGTCTCTTGTGATTTGGGGTTAGTGACCCAAAATGGTGTCTGAGGCATTAATTGGCTGTAATTCAGGTAATGTTATTTAACTGGTTGTTGATACTATATATGTTAATTGATAACATGGTACTTAATTAGTTGTTAAGCCAATAGTAAGTCATTGTTCAGGAGCATGAGATTTATTAAATAGTGTTTTGAATTCAAATGGGTGCTTTGCTCCATACTTACTCTAATAGAGTGGATCCTTCTGGCTGAGCTCAGATTCCTCTGCTGTTTCAACGCTTTTCTGTCAGTGGCCACGTTGTCTTTTGCCCAGAACACACTGGTTACAAAAGTCTGAGCTGTAATGTGGTGGGGGTGAAAGGTGCTGGTGCTGTTATCAGACACAGCCCATGTTCAGAGGTGCTCAGCGCTTCCCTGCTGGGAGCATTGAAACCTGCCCTGTAAAGTCACTGTGTTCTGAGGTGTTACACACAAACTTCTGTGCTTGGAAGGCACCCTGGCACTAAATCAACTTGAAACGAAATGATGTTACTCATTTCTCGTATCGTAACGTTTGTATTCCTACCTGGCTGATGGGGCTGTGATAAGAGCTAGTAATACATCTGTGGTCTTGTGCAAAAGGTCTAAAAGGGAGCTGTAGGGTTATGTTGGATAGGATCCACTTGTAAGCCTTCCACACGTTGAACCATTCATCAAATTTTAGTAGTCAAAATTCCTATTAAATGTTCTTTTGCACGGTTTAGTGCATTCTGGCACCGTCTGGCATTTGCTGCAGTTCAGCTTCTGTGGCGTTCTGTGGAGTTCTAGGAGAGGTTGTTTGCATTTTAAAATAAGTAAATACAACACTTTATTTGCAGCTCAAACACAGGAAGCACAGTGACATCTGTGACAGCTGTGTCAGCGGGGCATGAAACAGATCCACATTTTGGGTACTTCTAGAATTTTCTTCCATAAAGGCCTGGGGGAACAAGTCACCTTGCTCTGCTTAGATATCCACTGTAGTTTCTTCCTAAATACTGTCCTGTTAGACATAATACATGTTCACTAAATAGACAGAATTTCTGCCATTCCAAATACTGGTTTAGATTAAATAATAATAATATCTTTATAAAATAGAGCACACACTAAAAACTGATTTACAGAAGGCTCACACTTTTCTATGGCTGGAATCTCAGACTTCTTACTGAAAGCTTCCAGTGAAGTGCTTCTGTGCATATGCTTTGTGAACCTTGCCCAGCCTTTGGTTGGGCTGTTTCCTGAGAGCTCCAAATGTGGATGGCCTGTAGGAGTCACCAACAAATTCCTGTCCTCTTTGCTGAAAAGAGCATGGCAGTGCAGCAGCAACTCACAGAATTTGCTTCTGAAGTGTAGGGAAAGAGGGAGGAGAAAATTGAGCATGATATTATGCAGTAGATTAATTGCTCTAATCATTTAAATTTGGAGGGAGTCTGTTTTAAAGCCTTGTGGTTTTTAAGAAGCACCCGAGGGCTTTGATTTGGAAATTAACAAAAATGTAACTATGAAATTATAAAATTATTAGAACCTATTTTTCCAAGGGGAAAAAAAAAAAAAAGAAAAAGAAAAAAAAAAGAGAGAAGTGAGCATGAAAATAAATGGAGAATATTGAGGTGCAGAATTTCAAAGCATGGATTTGCCAGATGAGGTGCTTACGTAAGGTGAAACTGACTTGGCTCATGACGTACCTGCAAAGCAATGGATTCTTGTTGGCTGTTGCTGTCAGTAAACGTAAATACTTTTCAGGGTTAAAGATATCACACTGTCTCATAGCTCAGAGAATGTGCAGTGCTGGGTAAGGTGTCACTTTTTTTTTTTTCCTTGCTGCCAAGGGACCAAATGTAATTTATCATCCAATTAGAAATAGAGAGCCAGCAACTGGCAAACTTTACAAAGCGTAGTAAACCTAAAATTAGATCTCCAAGCTGTGTTTCGGCTTCCTGCATGCAATCACGTATCTGAATGATGTCATTTGACCTTGTTTGAGACAGGGTTTCTAATAGCTAAACCCTGCTAACCCTGCATTCCTACAGCTGAATGTCTTAAATATGAGGGCACAAATACAAATAGATGTTTAGTGTTCTTGTTCATACTCTGAACACCATATTGTCTTGTGAAAGTTCTTTTCTTGGTTGTTTTTTGTTTTTGTTTTGTTTTTCATTTAGATTCGTTTTTATAGCTGGGTGTTTTTATGTTATGGCACCTCGTGGACACAAGTCAGAGTGTTCCAGCCCTGCCTCTGGGTATGGCTGCTGTTCTGCTGGACGGCAGGGCAGGGCAGGTGGAGGGAGGGATGTGCCTGAGGCAGCTCCAGCATTCTGCCCAAGCTGAACTTGGCACCTCGTGTTCCTCTTGTCCTCAGAAGGTGGAGAGGAAGCAGTTTAAACAGGATCACTCACAAGTGTGAAGCTCTCTGATGTGTCTTTTACCACACTAACATTGTTCTGCATTGCAGTAGGGCTTTCAGTTCTCCATGGCTTGGAAACTTGCATTGTAGGAAGTTTCCTTTGAGGCCCTTTGTCCGGAATGTAACAGTGTTAAAACCAGCTGGCTGGCATACCAATCACAGTTACTTTACCTCTGCTTAGATTCTGAGAGTAGTGCACAACTGAGCAGGAGCTAAAGTAGGTTAGTGAGCTTGGTGTAACCTTGCTAAAACATGAACAACTGCAGCAAAAGAAACACGTGAGGAAGGAGAAAGAGACTGGAAAGCCATGTCAGTTTCCCTTAAAGGCATTTGTTTGTGTCTACTGCATTTTAAGAGACTTTTCCATCAGGTACAGTGATACCAAAAGTGTCGGTATTGCCATGCTTACAGTGCTGTAGCCTGTGTGCTTTAGTTGGAGATGTTCTGTTTTTCTCAAATGGAAACAGGAAGCTTTTCACCTTTCTGACCTGCTGTAGTTAAAAAACAACATCAGAACAGAGTAATAGATATTTGTGGCAGCAGGCAAGTTAAAAAAAATAATAATAAATCCTGTGTGGAAAAATATGGATATGTTTTTTCTCTGTGCAATAGACTGTGGGTAGCATTCTTCCAGCAGTGAGCACATACAGCTGATGTTGCTGAGCTCGAGTGGCCATTCAATGAAAACACCTCAAGTGAATGCCTCTCAGACTGGAAACCAAACGAATTCTCACTAAAGACTCTGTTGCTGAGCTGAGTTTGCAGGTCCTCTATGAGAAGGAGGGTTGAACTGCCTCGTGGTTATTACAGAATCACAGAATGGCCAGGGCTGGAAGGGACCTCAAGGATCATGAATCTCCAACCCCCCTGCCACATGCAGGGCCACCAACCTCCACGTTTAATGCTAAACCAGGGTTATGGCAGTCTGCATGTAGGCTGGCAGGTAAGAGATTGAGGTGCTGTATTTTGCTTTCCCTCTGGTAGTGTATTTTTGCGCAGGAACACCTAGAAAAGAAATGTGATTATAATTGCAGTTCTAATGATGTCTAGAGACATGAAATTAAATGTAGGGCTAGCTGAGCGCTTTCAGAAGGGGAACATATGTTTGGTGTTTGGGGAAGAAGCAGTTTGCTCTTCTCAAGTGACTTAGTGTCGGCTTCCTGACTTCTTCCTGCACTGCCCTCCAGTGCCAGCCTGTAGTCAGGTAACCTGTACTGTCATCTCAGGGGTTTGTTTACATATTTTCAGCATTTCATGATAGCAGCTCAGCAGTGTGGTGCTTTTAGCATATCAGAGGTGGGCAGATAAACCCATACATATACATAGAGTTGCTTAAAGGCTCTTCTT